GTTGCTCGGGTACGTGAAACAGCCTCTGGATGGGGCTCCCAGCCTCCAGCCTCCAGCCCACGTCCCTTCCTAGGCTGATGCTTCAAAGTCCAAATCCCAGGACATGCTTTTATTTTTTTAAATATATTTTTATTTTATTGATTAGAGAGGAAGAGAGAGGAAGGGAGAGGGATAGAGAGTTAGAAACATCCATCAGCCGCCTCCTGCACACTCCCCACTGGGGATGTGCCCGCAACCAAGGTACATGCCCTTGACCAGAATCGAACCTGGGACCCTTCAGTCCTGACCCTTCAGTCTGCAGGCTGACGCTCTCTCCACTGAGCCAAACCGGCTAGGGCCCAAGGACCTGCCCTGAAACTGTAACACCACTCCCTGGCATGCAGAATAACAGACGTGCACTGCCTGGAATGCCTTCTGGGCTGGCTGTTGTCTCCAGCTTGCCTCTGGTCCTCCTCCCCTCGCTGGCAGTGCACCGCTGTGACAGTTTCCGGGGGAACAAGCCACTTTTCCTCTTCTGTCCCTTTTGCTAAGCCATCTCCAGGGTCAGTTTTATCGGACATCATGGCCATCAGGATATTTGGTGTTTTAGCAAAAATCTTCTTTGTTGCCTTTTTAATAATTACTCTGTGTCCAATAAAGATTTTTTAAATTCCTTTACCAAAAAAACAAAACAAAAAGCCTCTTTCACAACTGTATGATGTTGTAAAGAAGGCTTCTAGAAATATTTTTTCATGAAGTAGCTTGTCAGTAAGGTCACAATTTTTTTTTTTTTGGCTTGGCAGCATACATTTTGACAGGTAAATTTTATTGTTTGGGAGTTGTTTCCTGTCTTCTGACGTTTGTGACATATTTCATTAGATAACCAGTTCATCGCTGATAGTAATCATTACCTTGTATCACTAACGCTTGCAGCGAAAAATAAAACTCACTGTGGACTGCCTCTGCCGGTCCTGCTAATTTCTGATGTAGTGACTCAGAGGGCGGGTGAGAGAGGACATTCACTGGGTGCTGCTGTGTTTCCAGGTGGGAGTGACGTCTCAGAAGACCATGAAGCTGCTTCCGGCCACCAGAGGCAGCGCCACACAAAAGGTACAGTAGAGATGCGATTTCTGCACGTCTCCTCAGCTGCGGGAGGGGGGGGGGGGTTCCTTCCTTAGCAACGAGCTGTTCTTTTTACAGTGCGAATGTGAGAGTGGCAGTGATACCAGGTGACATTTACAGACAGTCATTTTCTAGAACATTATAATCTTACTAGTGGCCTGGTGCATGGATTCGTGCACATTGAAAGGAAATTAATTAGAAGGTGGCCGGTGGGGTGGGACTGGGCGAGATGGGCTGGACACGCCCTGGAGCCCACCTCCTGCAGTCCCTCTCCAGCATCTGCAGAGTGAGCCAGGTCCCTCTGGCATGTGGGGTCCCTTGGCCTGGCCTGTGGGGATTTGGCCAAAACCAGCTCTTTGATATCACCTGAGAGGTCCTGGATTGTGAGAGGGTGGTTCTCTGGTGAGGCACCCCAGAATCTGACTTGTTCCTCTCTGGCACAAGTAGTAAATAGTATAAGCAAACTCATTAAAATCGTATTCTGTTTTTCTGGAAATAACTTATGCATGTATTTGTGTGTACCAGATTGTGTGTGTCTGCCAGGGTAACACGTTTTACTGTAGAATATCAAACATCACATTTGGCCTTGGCTGGTGTGGTTCAGTTGGTTGAACGTTGCCCCGTGCACCTAAAGGTCCCCGGTTCACAGCAGGTCAATGTTTCTCTCTCTCCTTCCTCTCTCTAAAACTAAGTTAAAAAACACAACATGTCGCATTTATTAGTGTTGCTGGTCTCATCAGAAAAGTTAAGAATTCTGAAGCTGTCAGTCTCACAGTGGCAGATACAAGTTTTCCAAAATACAGGCAGCCCTCGGGTTACGTCGGACTCAGCTTATGTCCTTTCTTGGTTACGTAGCCATCTCCCATTTAGAGTATTTATATAAAAAAAAGTTCCGTCATTTCGACGTATGTGCATATGTGCTTTCTGTTGTTTTTGTTATTTATTTACCACAAGTAAAGGCCAGGAATTGTTATCTTTCTTTTATAATTTTTTTACTGTTTCACTTCATTACTGCTGTGTATGTGCTCCATGTGAGTGACGTGGTGCTTACGTAGGTGGTTCTGACTTACAGCGAAAATCGCATTGCGTTGCCGTAGGAACGGATCTCCGACGTAACCTGAGGACCTACTGTACTGATTTTCACTTGAAAGCTCAGACTTTACCATATTAGCAAATACTGTCAGTGGCTTTCCTTTGAATAATAAGCTCACTTCCTCCAGTTTTTCTTAAAGTCCACGAAATACTCATGTGTTAACAGCAACAGTTGCTGGTTATTCTTTCATTGTTAAAAATGTTGTTTCTTGAAGAAAATGGATAGTGTCGCTCATCACTCAGACAATGATACAAGTGCTTTTTGCGTATACAGCAGGCGTGCTTAATGCACACTTTCTATTTTTTCACACTAAATGTTAAAAAGACATGTATTCAAGGGTCAGATTTAATAAGATTAATAATGTTTATGCTTCATCAGGACATTCTTACACGAAACTAGATGGTTTTTCCCGTAACTCTCACTTGATGATGAAGATTACAGGTTACTGGCTGTTTGGTGTCATTGTTTTATTTCTGGTCAGATACCCTTAACTTTGCCCATCAGTTCTGTATCATCATTGCAAATACCAACCTAATAAAAAGGAAAATAAAGTCTTTCTTAGAAAAATGTGCTGACTGGGCCGATTCCCTAAAAGGTTCTCGTTGACTTCCGCATGTCCGGGAACCCACTTTGGCAATCCCTGTAATAGACTGTTTTACAAATTACTGCGCAGTGTATTGTCAAAAAATCAAAACCTTAACTATGTGTTTTTTCCAGCTTTTCAAAGATCAATGAATCTGGAAGTGTGAACATAATTATTTGTGAATGCTCATTGTTCTAGGGAGAAAGTCCATAATTTTCATCAAATACACAAGGGGGTTTGTGATCCCCTGTAGAAAGTTAAGAATCAGTGGCCTAAAAACAGTCTGCACAATATCAATGTTATTATATTTGAGACTTGTTTTATATCCTAATAGTAGGCCAATTTTGTGCTTGAAAAGAACATTTATACTTTGATTCTTGGGATGAGTGACTTATTACACACACACACACTCCTACATATATGTGTGTGTGTGTGTGTGTGTGT